TGGGGTTGGGGTTGCGGGGAGGTGGGTAGGGATGCAGTGGGTCTGGCCTGGGGGATGGAGGGCCAGGGCAAAGCAGGGCATGGGGGAGGAGTGGGATAATGCAGGTTACTAGCGTGATGAGCTGGGCCTGTCAGATGCTCAGGGTCTCAGCTCCCATTTCCCACTCCCCCCACCCAGGCAATTAGAGCCGCTTCTCCACAGCGGGTTGGGGTTGCGGGGAGGTGGGTAGGGATGCAGTGGGTCTGGCCTGGGGGATGGAGGGCCAGGGCAAAGCAGGGCATGGGGGAGGAGTGGGATAATGCAGGTTACTAGCGTGATGAGCTGGGCCTGTCAGATGCTCAGGGTCTCAGCTCCCATTTCCCACTCCCCCCACCCAGGCAATTAGAGCCGCTTCTCCACAGCGGAGGGCAGCCCCACCCTGCTGACCTGAAGGCTGGGATCTCCTTGGCGAATTTGATCACTTGCTGGATGAGGATGGTGCTGAGATCGGCGAAGTGGGGCAGCATGGAGAAGACGTCGGGCAGCATGTCCTCCGGCAGGCTCTGCAAGGGAGCCAGGGGGCTGCCCTCAGGACGGGAGAGCCCCCGCAAGACTTGGGGGACACTGGTCTCCTGGGATCTGTGAGGGCTCAGGTTGTGGATGTACAGTCGCACTGGAGGCTGGGGAGACAGAGGCCCCAGTCAGAGCTTTTAATGCCGCTGCTGTGGAGAGGCAGCTGGCTCTGGGGTGTGGCGACCCGGCCCGGTACATTGCCCTGCAATTCAGCTGAGCCTTGGACTGCTGGGTACACCCGCCCACAATCCCACGCCCCATCGGGTGCAGCCCTGCAGTCGCCAGGGTTACGACTCCAGTGTTGTCTCCGAGGCAAGGCTGGGGGATCCTCTGCCAAGGGTTCCCTTAGGGTTGAAGTGGGGTGAGAATCCACGCACGGGATCTGCAAATACAGATGCGGCAGCTGCAGTGAGGCCCGAGCGAGGAGGCTGCAGACACATGGCTGCTCCAACCAGCTTGTAGTAGAAAAAATCCTATTTCTTATTTTGAGTGATATTTTAAGCATTTAAGTTTTAATGTACCAAGTTGTAGTATGCTTTTACATTATTTTAAAGTAGAAATATACTTAGATTTTATAGTTATTTCTAGGGGGCTGGGCCCCTTGCTCACTGCTCCCCAACCCCCCTCTCTCAGGGCTTAGGCAGCCCCAGAGCTTCCCACGGCCACTGGGCAGGGCTGGGGCTGAGACTGCACCAGCCTTGGTTTCCCCCTCCCCGGTTGCTGGGGAGGGATGGGTTGTGTGCCAGCCCCACCAGGCAGCAGGGAGGGCTGGGGTAGAGGCTGCCCCAGCTCCAGCTCTCTGCCCCCCGCCCCCAGCTGATTCTGGCAGCAGGTACTGGAGCCCCAGCAGGGCCAAGAACACAGGGGAGCTGGGGGCTGCTTCTCTTGACTCTGCAGAGGCTGGGGGAGGTGGGGTGATGCAGAGTAATGTGATGACCTCACTGTCATCCTGCAGGAATTTTTTTTTAGGGAGAGAGATTATTATTATCATTTTATTATATAAATGATTTAGAATTATTTGATTAGAATTTTTATCATTGTTATTTTGGCTTTTGTTTCAAAGTAGATATTGTAATACAATCTAGTGAAAGAATGCAATGATCTGCTTTTCTTTAAATGTTATCCATAACCCTCGTTCTTCTTATGTGTGAGCGTAAGGAATGTGTGAGAGAGAAGGGTGAAAGCCATCACAGAACCAGGGATACTGCACGGGGGGATCCACCAGCGCACTCGAAGGCATAACAAAAGAGGGCAGATTGGGACACCGAGGGAAAGGGCGAGCATTTATCAATTGGGACAAGATATTCGTGATCCAAAGCTGCTGAGCGTGGCAGAACAAAGAAGATGGGGAGCAAGAAGAACAACGGGAGATAAACACCCCTCAGAAAAACAGCATGACCATGCAAAACCCACTGACCCCGACGGACAAGAACCATTCTAAAAGAGGACGGCTTTCCCGGAAGAGCCAGGTTCCTCCTGCCTTTATCAGACTGGAATGTTGGTCCAGACCAACAGACATGGGTTCCTTAGCCTATTTAGCCACCAGACTAATGTGAGCAACCGACCGGCAACTAGACCAGGAGTGGGCAAGAGGCAGCTAGCGGATCGGATCCGGCTTGCCACTGGGAACCTTCAGCACAGCAGCTGCGGATGCTTTAAATGTGGCTGCTCTATGCTGAGACACAGAAGAGAGACTTTGTGCTCTGATGGTCTAGAAAGTTTTTGGTCCTGCCATGAGGGCAGGGGACTGGACTCAATGACCTCTCGAGGTCCCTTCCTGTCTTAGTACTCTACGATTCTATGAAAAGGCTGCTCACTATTCCCCCTCCCCCGCCCCCCAGTAGCTCACATTGGCCGGTTTCTGTCCAATAGCAGCTGCCTGTTTGCAGGACAGGCAGCATGTGAAGTGACCCTCCCCCCTCAACCTCTAGGCTCACCGTGTTTGCAGCAGCAAACATGACCCGAAGGCAGGAACCCTGGTTAAAGAACCTGCTGGGCTGCTGGCTGATAGCCACCCAGATAAGGTCTCCAGCCAGAGCCTGCCTCTGACACCCACCCCCTCTCTCCCACAACTCCCAGCCCCAGGCCACCACCCAAACCCTCTGTACCCCTTTCCCCCAGGTCACAGCTCCCTCCCAGACCCTGCACCCCCTCCCCAGGCCAGAATCCTCTCTGACTCCCACACCTCCTTCTGGACTTTGCACCCCAAGCCTCTGCCACAGCTGACAACCCCTCCACCTACACTCCCTCTCAGACTCCACCCCCCCCGCACTCCAGTCCCCTACCCCAAGCTTCCTTCTGCACCCTGTCTCTGTCCCAGACCCCACAACCCTTTGGTAGAAATGCAGCCCTTGACCACTTGCCAAAATCTTAGAGTGCCCCCCCCCCATTAAAAACTATTGCCCAACCCGGGTGTAGAGCGACTGGGGCAAGTCAGGGTGTGGTTCTGGGGGCAGTAGCCCCCCCCCAATGGGGGAGTGGGATTGTGGCTCTCACCCGGCAATGCACGAACTGGGAGAAGCCGGAGTCAAAGTGCCGCTTATGGGCCTCGATGAGGATGCCGATCATCTGCTCCTGCTCCTCCGTCAGCTGCTCCTGCTCCCCAGCCAGCTCCCGCTCCTGCTTCTTCTGCTTCCGCAGTACCCGGCGCATCTGCAGAGCCTCCTCTGACATGATCACTGCCGGGCCACGAGGCAGGGTGAGGGGCTGGGCCCTAGCAATGCAGCTCCCAGCTACCTCTCCCTATGCCCTGTCCAAGAGGCTGGGACGTTGGGCATGGCACTGCCCCGGCCGTGGGCAAGCTGCTGCTGCAGACCTGCAGCCAGTGCTTCACTATCTGCCATTGAGCATGGCCCTCCTGGCCAACCAGCAGGCAGGAGCAGGGCCACATGCCAGACCAAGCACTGGGCACAGGGCTCCTGTGTTCTACTCCCGCCGCTGGTCCTGGGAGGGGAGGGCAAAGCTGGTGCCTGGCAGCTTTCAATGGGGCTTGCCACTGTCCTTGGGTGAGTCTCTGCCACACCACAGCTGCTTGTGGGCAGCGCCGTGAGTCTTGGAGGAAGGAGTGTGGCCTCGTGGCTCTACAAGGGTGAGTGCTCCTGGCGCTTGCCAGCCCGTGTGTTGAGCCGAGTGCCCAGCAGCGATGGGAGTAGAGACAGGAGAGCAGCTTCCACCACCCCCATCCTCCCGAACGGGGGGACAGGTCTCTAGGTCGCCAGCAGGGTCACTTTGGGGCAAACCTAGAGGAGAGGCCGGGGCACAGAACTGCTCCCCACCCAGCGGAGCCTGCACCTGCCTGTGAGCAGAAGCAGGGGCTGGGTGGGCTCAGGGTTGGGTGGGCAGGCCCTCCAGAGCCACACTGGACTGATAGAGCAGGTGCTCACTGCAAACCAGAGACCTTGGCCATGCCTGCTCCACACCTGCTGCACAGAAGATGCACAAAACAGCCCATCTAACCCCTCCCCGCCTGCAGTGAGCTGTCGGCCCTCCTCCCCAACAAGCTTCCGCCCAGCCACGCAAGGGCTACTCCTCTGAGCCATACAGGGGCTCCACGGTTTCTGGGTGCCCCGGACAATGCTGAAATCTTGAGCCTTTTCCTCCCCTCCCTGCCACCTCTGTTCTCACCAGCAGGGGGTGCTGTTGGGGGAAAGTGAGGAGAGCACTAAGCACCAGTGACCTAAATTCTTTGCATGGCACCAGGCTAGCCCAGCACTTTGCTAACTGGGACCCCTGCTAGTCAGGACACCCCCCAGCCCAGCCCAGCCCAGCCCCCTGCTAGCTGGGACCCCCTGCCCAGCACCAGTCTAGCCCAGCATCCTACTAGCTGGGATCCTCTGCACAGAACCAGCCCAGTCCAGTGCCCCTCTCCTCTGGGATCCCCACACCAGGCATTCACCAATGGAAGGTGCTGAGTCAGAACAGAGTGCACCGTGGTGGCAAGGCTGCAGCCCGGGTATTCCCTTAGTCCTGACATCCTGGGAGAGCAGCCCAGGCACTTCCCTTCCAGCCTCCCCAGGGCCAGGCATGGGGTACGGGCAGGACGGGAGCTGAGCCGGGACTTACTGTCCTTCCTCATGCCGACGGCCAGGCACTTCTGCAGGCGGCAGGCTTGGCACTGCCGGCGCTTGGCTTTGGTGATGGTGCAGCTGCGGGTGAAGGGGCAGGTGAAGCAGATGCCCTTGCTGATGGACCGCCTGCAAAAGAGGGGCAGGGCTAGGGGAGCAGGAGAGAATCACCCGGCCCTAGTAGAAGGCCAGGGAGCCCCCCCCTTCCCCCACATTTGGCTTGGCACCACAAGGCACAAAGCAACTCAGCCAGCTGGCCTCTGCACTCCCTAGATCGGGTGTCCCAGTGACCGTCCACCCTCTCCCAGCCTCCTGCCAGCTTCATCCACACCCCTCGCCTGCGGGGGGAGGGTTTCTTGCACAAGCACTGAGCAACACAGACGTGTAACATGCCAGCACGTTGGGGTGTGCCAGCTCACTCCCCCGCCCCCCACAGGTCTGCCCCACACCCAGATGGGTATGCTCACACCTCCTATGCGCTCTCTCACACACAGATGGTTATTGCTACACAAACACACACAGACAGACAGCTATGCTAGCGCGGGGGGAGGGTTTCTTGCACAAGCACTGAGCAACACAGACGTGTAACATGCCAGCACGTTGGGGTGTGCCAGCTCACTCCCCCGCCCCCCACAGGTCTGCCCCACACCCAGATGGGTATGCTCACACCTCCTATGCGCTCTCTCACACACAGATGGTTATTGCTACACAAACACACACAGACAGACAGCTATGCTAGCGCGTGTGTGCACACAGATGGTTATTGATACACAAACACAGACAGACAGACGGACATGCCCGCCCATGTGCACACACAGGGTGGTAATTGGTGCTACACGATGGCCCTTCCCCAAGAGTTCTCTCAGGCATTGGTTGCCCTGGTCAGTTGTCATGCCCCAGACAAACCCATCTGGCTGACCCAGGGTGTTTCTGTCCTTATGGAGGAGAAGCCACAAGCATTAAAACCTGGGTCTTCTCCAGTCAATTCCACAATACAATGCAAGTGCCCCAACACCCTGAAACCCCAATACACGTATCACCAGGAAACCCCAATGCACGTATCACGAGGAAACCCTAGCACACGTAAGTGTCACGAGGAGCCACCAGGGCAGGTAGCTGAGAGACCCAAAGGACCATGCAGCATGCTGCAGGGAAGGGTGTGAATGGCTCAGCCTGGTGCTAGGACAATGGTGCAGCTGGGAGTGGCGCGTGGGAGCAGGAGTCCTGCGCAGCCAGCATTGTCCTGAGTGCCCCGGGCTGGCAGTAGGGGGCACTGTGGAGCAGGGTGGGGTGCAGTAGGAGGGTCTGGGGAGGAGGCAGTGGGTAGTTACTCTGGTGGCCCATGCAGGGCTGGCAGGTGTCTAGGGCTGGCATATATGACTAGAACCTGCCAAGTGCACGATGCAGCCTGGCTGGAGCCAAAGCTGGCCTGGGGGAATCAGGGGGACGGAGCAAGCAGACAGCAGCCTGGGGTCCAAACTGACAAAGTGCCAGCTGAGCCCTGCAGGGAGGGGCAGACCTGGACCATCATGTCCAAAGCGCTGGGATGGGAGCTGTGCCCGGCAGCATGTCCCAGCCCGTTACTACCTTGGCTGTACTTGCTTGGGCGCAAGGGGTGCCGCTGAGATATGCCTGGGGTCAGCAATGCCCCTGGAGACGAGCATGTGGCTGGCTCTGAGCCCCAGGGCAGCTACACCCACAGGGCAGTGGACACAACACACAGAGCCAGGCAGTTGCCTGTGTGCACACAACACACACTGCACCCTACCCACACATACATGCATCCCCTTGAGACACACATGTTATGCACGCATGCACACATCTGCGTTCACACACACGCACACATCTCAGTGTGCACTCCACACACCAGTGCACACACTGCGCACTCCAATCAACAGGCACCCCATGTCCCAATGCCTCTCCATGGTCCCCCCTGCAGACATACCCTAGAAACACCCAAAGCACACGTCATATGCACACCTTCACACCCCATCCACATATACACCTCAATTCACACTCCGTATAGGTACCTCACTCCCCACTCCCATACACATCCCCAGCCTGCACACACATCCCTTATAGACACCCCAGGTTACACCTACATCTTTACACTAGGGATGTAGTAGGGTAGCTGATTAACCGATAAGCAAAAGCTTATATGTTAATGCTATAAACTACATGCATTCCCCCCCCCACACACACACACACTTGCCAGTACGTTTTTTAGCAGGCTGGCCAGCAGTCTGGCTCAGACCTGGCTTGAAACGGGTCCAGGCCTTAATTTGCTGCGGCTCTGCATTTAAAGTGTATTAGGAGCCGAGCGGGCAGGCAGCCCAACTCAGTTCCAGCTTGCACTAGGTCTAGGAGCTCAGACCCCCCCCAGACAGGGGCTGCTGCCACCCTGCACTGCTGCCTCTTTATCAGAGGTTTTTAAACTGGCTCCCCTCATGGACCAGCTCCCTCCTGGCACCCTGCAGGGGGCTCCTCAGGAGAGAGGCCTGACGCCCCAAGGACTATAGAATAGTCGACTAACCGATAAGAATTCATGAGGTTACTCAACTATCCAATTAACCGATATTTAACATCCCTACTTTACTCAATACCCTGGCACAGCCCCCCGGGGCCTCATCACCTCACGTGGGTGGAGTCTCACTTCTCAAGTGGCGCGCTCCAGCTGCAGAGCCCTGGCCTTACGCTGTGACATCCACAGCCAGGCCAGACGGCTAGCGGCCAGCACTGCCTTGTGCTTTGTCCACACGGGCAATACCTGGCCTGTTGCCAGCTCTTCCTCGGCTAGGCATGTTTCTTTGAAGGGGAAACACATCCCAGAGGAAAGGGAGGAAGAGCCATGCCTTGCCTGGCCGCCTTTTTGGGCAAGGTTCGGATCCCAGTCTGTTCAAACTCGGACCCCTGAGCCTACCCTGGCCTCAACCAACCCCTGCCAATCATCTCTGAGGGGTACCGCTCCAGAGCTGTTTACCATTGGGGGGGGCTGTAGGAATCACCTCCCCACACACACACTGCAGATCTGTGCTAACCTTCTCCCCACACAGCTGCTACAATCCCTGGCCACATAGACACGACAGCCATTCATAAAGCTAATACAGCCCAGTCCCTGAAGATGCTGCATGTGGCCATAATATAGTCTCACACTCACCCCCCACATTGCACCCTCCCCACATACAAGCACATAAGAATACCATTGTGCACACTTGTACACACCACTGCACCCACACCCCAGTGCTCACCCCCACACCCTAACTCACAACAGGCACTATCAATTCCCTGCACAGTGCCAGTAGAAGGCAGCAGCCCCGGGGGGTGGAAAGGCCCAGGCCGGGGGGTGGAGGTCGGCAGGGCCAGGGGGCTCTCACCTGAAGAAGCCCTTGCAGCCCTCGCAGGTCATGACGTGGAAGTGGTAGCCGGTGGCTCGGTCGCCGCACACGGCGCAGATCTTCTCCTCTCCCTCTGGCTCTGCGTCTTCCCTGCTGCTGGCCCCCAGGCTCAGCACGCCGGGGCTGCGGCTGCTCTCGGGGTCAGAGGGGCTGAGCATGGCAGCTCCTGGCCGCCAGGCACCCACGGACAGGATGCTGAGAGGAGAGGAGAGCCTGCCACAGGCCTGGGCCCAGCACAGGAACAGCCCAGATCAGACTGCACCCTGTTGCCCTTCCATAGGGGCCAGTCCTGGCCCTGCCCCCAGCTCCGGCTCCCCATCTGTGGGACTCCATTCTTCCCCCCACTCTCTTCCCCAGCCACAGCCCCCACCAAACTCCAGTGGAGCCTCCCACCCCCGCTGTTTGCGCTCCTGCAGGCAGATCACAAGGCAACTGAGCTGTTGCGTGAGCAGCACGTGGCAGGTGTCCAGGCCCCACAGTGATGGGCGGCAGGAGAACCCCCGACATAGGCAGACACACACACACAGGCTCTTGCTTTCCACACCTTGGCCCCTGGGCTTGGGGAGACCCTGTATCAAGCTCTATAGGATGGCCACATCCTGCCTTCACCATGGTATCTGGGAGCTTGACCACAGAGTCCATCTCCCACACCCTGCAGGGCCTTAGGGGGAAGCTTTTCTCTGCACTGCTCGGCTGGGAGTCCCCAGAACTGTGCCAGCACCAGCGAGGGAGGCAGCAGATGGCGGCGGTCAGATGGCCGCACCACCTGTCACCTACCCACGGGGCCACGTAGCACCACGAGGGTGGGGCCCCTGCCAGCAGGGGGCAGCATTCTCAGTTACAAAATGTCTAAGTGTGCTCCAGGTTCAGCAACAAACTCTGCCCCCGGTTACTCCTGGAGAGCTCCAGCACCGGCCCCACATGCTGCCCCCACCTCTGCAGCTCCAGCTGCAAGTGCCACTCAGTTCAGAATGCACTGCTGCTGCTGGTCTGCTCCTGCCAATGCATGAGCCTGGCCAGATGCCAGCTCCCCCTCCCACAGCTGAGCACGTGCTGCCGGGAATCCATCTTTTACCCCCTCCCAGTTACTCCCACCCACATCATCCAACCCCAGAGACCCCATCCACCCTACTATCAGTCCCCATAGACCCCTGTCTACCCCCTCTATCAATCCCTACACCCCCATCATCTATTCCTATATATCCCAGCTACCTTATCTATTCCCATCTACCCCATTCACCCCCATACACCCACTATCAATTCCCCAGACAACCCCAGTTAGCCCCAAACATCCCCTCTATCCCATAAACCCCATTTATCCCCATATACCCCATCTCACCACAGTCATCTATATCCATACACCCTCAACTATCCACACTCATCTATACCATTACAACCTCTATCTAACCCCATACACTCCCTATCTAGCACCATATACCCCTTATCCATCCCAGTATATCCCATCTTCATAAACCCCATCTATCCCCATAAACCCCAACTATCCACACCTATCTACGCACATACATGCCTATTTATCCACATATCTATTTAACCTCACACTCCCCATTTATCTTTATACACTCACTATCAAATCCCATACACACCCTATCTAATCCCATACACCCCTATTTATCCCTATCCACCCCCTCTCCATCCCCATAAATCCCTCTTTTATCCATCCCCATCTACCCCATCTCTCCCAAATCCCCCCCCCCTGCCCCAGCTAGCTAGCTGTCTAGCTCTCAGGCTACGTCTACACTGTGGCAGTTTTTCGGAAGAGGAGCCCTCATTTGCAAATCTCGCACTCTCGTTTGCATATTCTCTTCCAATACTTTTTGCAGATGAGGTTTTTGCGATAAAAAGCCCTGTGTAGACGGGGCCATTTGTCGGAAAAATCGCGTTTTGCGCAAGGTCCCTTATTCCTCCAAAAATGAGGTTTACAGGATCTTGCGCAAAACGGGGTTTTTCCGACAAATGGCCCCGTCTACACAGGGCTTTTTAGCGCAAAAACCTCTTCCATA